TTCGCCTTTTATATCAAGGTTTTTATTAGTAATTATTGGTATTGAAAGGGACGAATGGATCATTGTCCTACTTATATTGAATGCTGCAATACCTGTCAGTGTGAGCACGAATACAAGTGATTTTGACTCTATTTCTACTATCTCCTGAAGTTGTCTTCAGATTGCTTTAATCAAGAAGGTCTTTCTGGTTCCTACTATTCCCATAACAATGATTCTTAATGGTTCATCTTGATTGCTTATAAGCATATTGCCATAATGTGACTCTATTTGTTTAAAGATTATTCTTTGATTTTTGTTTAGCATTTCATAATTCACAATATTCACATTTTCTTCTTCCTCAGTATTCCTTTACCTATTACCAGAATTTCTATCCACAAAGATATCAGCATCTATAAGATCATTATTAGAATATCATTTTCTTGTTTCATTGATCCAATCATGATTCCAATCTATATCACAAGATCCTAGGTCAAAAGGGCAATTGATAACTGCATTTAGACCCATTTCTGCTAGAAACATCCAATTGGGTCAAAATTCGTCCTGCTCATTATCTTCGAGTAATTCATCATCATCTTCGCTAATGATTTTATTTTCTTCATTTTCAATAAGAGGTCTAAGAAAATCAATTGGGTCAGCATTGATCTCTTTAAGATACTGATCATGCAATAGTTTCATTTTCAGTTAACTGTTAAAGATCTCAATGATGAACGTAAAGAAGAACTTTTATACAGCAAATTATTCTTACTGAGGACCTTCATGCAAGGCTGACAGACGTAAAAAGATATGTACAATATTTTCTTTTTTGCATTTATTCCATTTATTTTTAATGAATTTGTGAGTTAAATGGAGCTGATATAATGTGAAATCTTCGAATTTGGTAGGTCAGTTTCAATATCTTTCTAATGGTAATTGTTCTGTCTGTTCAGAATTGATTGTAAAAAGCTCTCCGCTTTCTCTAGTACTACGAATCCACCTCAGTATTTCTTTATTAAAGTTCAAGGATACAAATAACCTATTTGAGTGATATAATGAAGTATTAAGGAAAATGTGACACATTTTTTGAGCAAAAACATCACGCTCTGCAATATTGTATAATAGCAATTTCTGGACTGAGGCAAGTATTTGTTCATCTGAATTGCTATTATTTAAAATTTGATTTAATATTTCTGAGAAGGCAACAGATCGCGGTTTCACTTTGCTTGTATATTTTGATATATATTGCAAGGTAGCATGGATATTTAAGATCAGCTTTAGGTCGACATTTGCTCGCCAACCTTGCAGTTGAAGCCTATTATGCATATTGATCAATGAATTGTTCCTTTTTGTTACAAGCTCAGGTTGATCATGATCATCATCACATATAAAAGTATTCTTAACATTTTCTTTAGGGTATCTGAATCTGCAAGATTGCTGACCATCTCAGTTAATATGAAGGTAATACGAAAGATTACATCATATATATTATTGCAGCTTATTGATCAGTTTAACGTAATCCTATTGATCATTGCATATTTCATCTTTATGCTTTTTACACAGATGCTGATTAGAAATAGGCGTGTTGAGCCCTAGGTTTATTGTAGTAACCAGAGAATCAAGGTATTGTACTACTTTGTTCATAACATTCTCATCTTTCTGCATTTGTTCTCATTTTATTATGGGTGTATTGCGTTTCTTTCTGATTTCATGAATATGGATGCTACCATAGTACTGCCACTCAAATCGATATCACCAATCCTCTAAATCCCATTATCATTTTAAAATATTATTAAAAAATAAATCAAATCGCTTGTTAAAGAACCAAATAGTAATATGAGGATTATTGACGATGTTTTGGTTATTAGTCTCTCTTTCTGTGAAACTAGATAGTATAAGCTTGTGGAGTTTAGGCTAGTACAAATCAGCAGTGATAAATATAAAGAAGATCAAACCTTGTGATCCTATTTGCTTAATCATATCTAAAAATTCCTAACGTCTTGCATTCCAAAACTGCTAAAATCCATGCAGCCCTTTACCAAATCGCATAATTCTATCAGCAATATTATTATCACCTTGAATTATTCTTTCCTGAATATCTGCGACAGTAATTTGAGAATTGGTTAGGTTTTGCTTAACATATACTTTCCCTTCCTGTAGTGCTCGCTATTGTATCTAGAAATTTAATGCAAAATATTGCCAATGAAGATAGCGTGCAAATCTTCCGTTTTTATATAGAAGTAGATGTCTAAAGTATTTGACAGGTTTGATGTCTCTAATTTGCTCTGTATGAAAATCTACATATCCAGTTAGATATAATATTAGGAACATGCATGCAATATACCCTAGCGTTTGGAATTCATTGACAGGATTGTTGCTGATCTGTGGCTATTTTATAGGGCAGTTTTGGTTTTGCACGCGATCAAGGGTATTTTGAATAGTGACATCTTCACGATAAGTTGAAGGAAGAAGTGAAACAAAAGTGCATATAACTGCATCACCTTTATCACTCTCATCTTTATTATCTAAATTCTCAGCAACTATTTGAGTATTCTGAAGGCAGTCATCAATAGATCTACTGGTAGACAAAGAACAAAGATCCTCATTATCTATTATAATATCAGTATAATAATGATTGTTCTCTTTAGCCAGTATAGCGTGATAGCAACTTTGACATAACAGACAGTAAAATCTTTGAATGCTACCGAATTATCTGCAGTTTCACGATGTATAACAAGTATATCTAATGACGATGGATGCTGAGAAAGGTGAGTAGCAAATCCTTATACATCTTGAGGGAAGTTGATTACATTTTCATGATATCCACATTATTCTTCACAAAGTCTGTAAACAGACATTATGAGAAAAACTCTAGCAATCAACATCTCCTCAATTTCTGTAAACCCTTAGAGTTCATCAGGTACATTACCAGGATCTATGTTATTTTCTGCAGAGAATTTCTTTGGGTAAGTCTTTTCACTATAACAGCAGTAAAATTCTCCTTTTACAAGCACTATGGATGGAAAGCTCTCATTGCATATAAAGCAAAGATTATGTTTTAATTTATCCATTTTATTGTGAAACTTCTGTAGAAGGTCTTGTTTGAATTTACTAAACTCAGATGGGACTTTGACACTCTAATCTTGCCACTCTGGAATGTCTCAATCCTGCTCTGGCATAACTCAATTCTGCTGCAGTTATGGCTTCATAGATTGTTGCTGCTGTGACTTAATTGCTGCGGCTTCATGGCTTGACTCCGCTATAGCTGCATTAGATTATAGTGGTTTTCAATATTTTTATTTGCTACTTTTAGACGTTTTTGTTTGCGATCATATGTGCGATGTGCATCCTATTCTTCGGTAGTTACTATCACCTTTCTTTTCCATTTTTTCTCGCATTTCTTGACAAGATGAGCCTTACAATGCTTAGGCATTTTATTTTCTCTTGATTTACATTTCTGAAGAGTGTTGAGGTTAACTTTATTGCACATTTTATCATAGTAGATGCGAACTAACAAATGTCTTAAGAATAAAAGCTCAGTATTCTCATTATTATAGCTTGTATGTAGTATTCTGAAAGGGTCAAATTGGGTCAGATTTGAGGATGTACTCAGACTCAACCCGTTTATAAAAACCAACCCATACAAATACCTAGATTAATATTTATAAAATCTGACTCTGACCTAACCTGTTATAGTTTGACCCTGAATAACCTGGGTTAAATAAAATTTTGAACAAATTTATTTATGATCAGCAAAACAATAATATGTATATCGCACAACTTTTACAAAAAAAGATTCTAATTAATTTTATTTAAATTTTTATGAAAAATTATAAAATATATTCTAATTAAATTCTCTTTACTCCCACCATAACTTCAAACACATACAGGCGCAAATTATATTTTTTTTGAGATTGTTTCTTTTTGCTGTTATCAAATCAGTTTTGCTGGAAAAGATCTGTTCTACTGAAACACTTGTAGCTAAATTAAAAATCATTTATTAACTAATATTTAGTAATATTAAAATGAATAAATTTTTTTACCTGCAATTGCAAGATAATCTCTTGTCATTACTGCTAGGTGTGGATACTCTACTTTATTTAACTATATATGTTTATTAATAAATTAGTAAAATTAAATCAAATAAAATATATTAATTATTTTTAAATATATACCTTTCATCACAATAAAACATCCTGATTTCGATCTGCTCAAAGATTTTTTAAATACATTTCTACTTCATTTTATTGATGATTGTTCTTTTTACCAAAAATGTGATTTAAGAATTTATCATCATTATTATTATTAGCAACTTCTACATTAATATTACTAGATGCATAATTAGTATTATAAGTATTAAGAACTGTTTCTTTTATATATTGAATAAAATTTTGTTTTTACTTATTGTCTTCATAGTAACCAAACTTAAATCGTAGATCAAGCACTATAAAATTATCTATATTATTATTTAGTTTATAAAAAAATTTTACTATTTTATATTTCTTACTAGTAATAATTGTATACATAGTAGTTTTATCAGATTTTTCATAATATAACTCAAGTCTCTTTAATCCTGTTTTAATAGCAATTACTATGTTATTATAATTATTTAAATTTTCACAATATGCTTCAAGTTCATCCATTAAATAATTATATATTGGTATGGAAGAAGAAAGTATAAGATATTTTGCAGATGAAAGTATTTTAGTAATTTGTATAAATATCTATTTAATATAAAATAAAATATTTTTAATTAATTATAAGGATTAAATTTATTAAAAAACTTATTTTTATTTGTCAACTTTCTTACTTTCAAACAGAAATAATCTCTTTTATTTTATCCCATTCATCATCAGTAATTTCAAATTTCTGAGATCTTTATCTGAATTTGCCATTGCATTTATTGTCTATAATATAAAAAAATATTATTATATTAATATAATAAAAAAAGCAAATGTATATAATATGATAAATACTCTAATTTTTTGCATCACAAATACACAATTAAGCATATTAAATGTAAAGTTCTATTGTATTCTAACATCTAAGATAAGGTTATGCTCTTTAAGATTGGCAGCTTCAGCATGATGTGCAAACTTTTCTTTGCATTGTAGTAATGATTTTATTTTTACTATAAGCTTACGAAACTAATTATGATATAAAATTAGTATTATAATAATTTAAAATTTAAAGAAATATGAAAAATTAACCTACTTTAGAAATTATTTCTCCAGCATTTATAGTTAAATTCATATTATTCATGATATCATCTTCAATTTATGCTTCACCAGCTTAACTTGTTCTAAGATTTCTTACACAACTAAATTTATTATATGAGCAAAGCATCGACAATGAGAATTAATAGCATTAAAGAAAATATTTTTTATTTGACAAGTATTTTTTAAACATTTCATAAAGATAATATTATTTGAAGTATTATCACTAGTAATTGCAAAAGTCTGTTAAAGTTACAATGATTTTATTAGTTATATTTTAAGTTTGTATAAATATAAAAATAAAATAATTAAAAAAAAATAAAAAATTAAAAAAATAAAATAATTAAAAAAAATTAAAGAAAATAAAAATAAAAATAAAATAAAAAAGAATAAAAAAAATAAAAAAAAATGAAGTAAAAAACAAAATAAAAAATAAATAAAAATTAAAAAATAAAATAAAAATAAAATTAAAAATTAAAAAAAAAATAAAAAAATATTTATTTACCTTTTCTAAAATTCCAAACTCATAACAACTTTTTATAAAAGTATTATAGAGATTTTCACCTGAATGAGGACCAGAAAGATTTATAAAATCTAGCAATTTATCTTGAAGCCTCTAATCTTTAGTAATCTAGTGTATTGTTATAACTAAAAAGGAATAACTATTTATTGATGTCTATAAATTAATTATAAAAAAAATTCTTTTAGATGCATTCTATTAAATAGATAAATTGTTTAATAAAATAAAAAAAATTTTTAAAAAAAAAATTTATACATATATTTAAATTATCTGAAATAATTTACTTATTTTGTTTTGTTCTACTTTAAAACTTTCTAATATATCATTTTTTATTGTATCTGCTAATGGGACCAGTGCATCTGAATTTAATATTTTTATTATCTTTCAAAAATATTTATTTTCTAATATTATAAATGGTTGATCATCATCGATCACCTATTTAGTAATGAACTTGTGAAAACCTTTTTGTGTAAACTTAAAAAAAACTATTTTTAATATTCATATCTTTTCATTTTATATATTATTTATTAACATATCTTAGATAGAATTGTTGTATGGTTTACAAATTCATCCAATGTGCTTTAGGTTTTAACTATTAAATTCTTTGTTTTTTTTTGAATTTTCTTTTGATGATTACGTTTTAAATAATGCTAAAGATTTGTTATATTAGAATCATCAATCTTACGAAACTATATTTTATTCTTAAAATTTTAAGAGATTAGATTTATAATTAATTTTTTATAAAAATGCTTATTAATATTTAAGCAAATTTTTATTTTTTTTCTAAAATACTTACAGGCAGTTTAAGCACTTAACCACTTGATAAATTTTTGCATTTTTGTGTTCTTGTTGAAGTTCTTTTTCTTCAAAAAGTTCTCTAGTAAAAAGTTCATTTCTTAGAGAAAGATGCTTTCTAAGAGTTGTTTTCTCAACCTCGCTCATTTTCATACACAAATCACAAATAAAGTTAGAAATTAAAATCACGTAATAAAAACATTTTATATCTAAAATCATCAAAATATTAATTAAATTCGGGTCAACCCAGGGTCAACCCAGGTTAAGCAAAGGTATAAACCTAACCTAACAAGTTAGGTTGAATATAGGACTCATGTCAAATAATAATAAACTCAATTCAGATTTTAAACACGAGTCAGATCAAATGACCTAGGTTTGATCTGACTCTTTCAGAATACTATGTCTGATAAGTAGTTTTATAAAATAATTTACTTTAATCTCTTTAATACACTTATATAGTATAGAGCACTAACTGAGGCAGTACTTAATTGTTATTATTATTAAATAAACTATTAATTGATTAATACTCTTCTAAAATAATTATAAAATAAACTTTCTGCTTATTATCTAAAATATTACTTCACTTATCACTTATAAGCAATCTAAAGAACTGATTGTAATGCTATGCATACTATAAATAAATTTTTTAATATTTTTTTCCTCTAATATTTAACTACTTTTATATTTCAATAAGTTTTAATTTCACAAAAAAATGTCATCTTAATCATACCAATTATTAGGAATAGTAATGGTCAATTGCAATCAGTTAATGGTCAATCAATGGTTAACTAAAAATCTTTGACTGACTGACTGATTAACTGACTGATTTTAACTGATTGGTTAACTGACTAGTTAATAATAATATAATTAGTAATTTTAACTTAATAGAAGTTTTAATTTAATCAAATATTTATAATTTTGATTCTTATTTAAACAATTCTAACATAGCATTTTTTAAAACTACCTTGTCATTTTTATTTAATAGCGCAACATTATCGTTAATTTTAATAATTTTTTTTAAAATTTTAATTTATTTATAATTAAAATAAAATGTTGATGTTGTTAATTTATTACAAAGTATTTTTACTATTTAAAATATCATTATTTAGTCTCAAGTCAGTCAGTCAACTGGTTAGTTAAAATTAGTTAAAATCAGTCAGTTAATCAGCCAGCCAGAAGTCTTTGATTGACTGATATCAATTACAGTTATAACCATTTATGACCATAACCATTAACATTCTTACCAATTATTATTATAAATATAGCAATCTTTTTCCTTTTTTGATAAATTTCTTGAAAGCTTTCTCTTTCTTAGCATCTATATTTTTAACAAATATTTTTCTAATAGATTAATTAATTATATTTAAAAAACAAATTATACAGTATTTTATTAATTAACACTTTGAATACAACTTTAGATATTTAATCAGCTCAAGATAATTGAATATAATCCTTTCTTTTAACCTTATTAATTTAATAATATTTTATAGTTATCTGATCAAATTCCTTTAGGATCTTATTTTACAACTTCTTCTCTATTTATTTATCAAATTCCTTAAGTAAACAATAATCAGATCTATTCTTATATTTATCACTAATTAGTAAGAAACTATTTTATTTATTAAGTCAATTATAATATTTTTATCTACACATTTCTTTAATTCATATAATTCATCATTTAAAAACTCTACATTTCTTTTTAATGATTTTATCATCTTTTTAAGTTGTTATATTAAAAATGATAATCTTTTAATTTTTTTTCTAATGCTATAATTTTCTCAGAAAATACATTATATATGTTTATATTCTACCTATTTAGTCCAAATATCTAAGCTAAATTTTTTTGTATATCTGATAATTTAATGTTTTTCTTGAAACCTGTATATTATCAGATAAATGCTTTTGATTAGTTACTATTTTTATAATATTTATATATAATATATTTTGCTTCAAATAAAAAATAAAATTTAATGAACTATATTTAATCTATTTATATAATTAGTTTTTATTAAAGATACAAAATGGTCTTACTTGATCATAAGATTTGTTTCTTTCTTTTAAAATTAAATATAATATATCTATCAAATAGAGAAGCATGACTATCAGATAAATAGTGAAGAGCTTAACTAGCAATATTATAGCCTCTGATAAATTTTTTACATTATATATTACAATAACAAATACTAATTCTAATTTACATAAAGAACTAGAAAGAAGTAGTTTATCAGGTTTAGAAAGAAATTCATTTTTTTCAGAAATATATTTAAGTATATAAATAAATCTAGACTTTTTGAACCTTTCTAAGATTAATAAACAAGTAGTGATTCTTTAACTTTTCAGAATTAATCTATGTAAATAATTATTTTTCCCACTTTTTATTTTTTCAGTGATCTAAATATTTGAAAAATATTCTGTTGATTTTAATTTTTATGTATTTAATTATACTATTATTAGTTATATGCAAGTTTTTAATTTTAGCAAGATGATATAAAATATAATTATTATATCTATTAGGACTTATTTATCAGGTATATTAGATATATTATACAAATCTAGCCTTTTCTTAACTGATTCTAATGAAAATTAATCTAAAAAATTGATCCCTTTATTTTTATATTGCTTATTATACTTCTTTTAGATTTTATTAGATAATCTGATTACTTTTAAATTTAATATAACAAAAATTATTTTTCTGAAGCATCAAGGATTTACCATTTTCTTTAAAGTCTAGAAAGATAAAATAAGCTAGTGATAAGACTAGAAATAGTTTTAACTAAGATTCTATTTATTATTTTTACTTTTCTTTCATTAAGTTTATCTTGTATAATACGCTAAGTCATTTTTTTAATAGTCTTTTCAGAATAAGTATTATTAGATACTTGATATATATATATTTTTTTTAGTTTCTAATCTGATTCACTGAGATCTTTTCTTTTTTTATGAGATGCTTGACTTTTATTTCATCTGATTTTTTAAAGAAAAATTAATACAAATGCCTACTCTTTACTGAATTTATATCCTTTTTAAAGATAATTATGAATTTTATATCTTTTTTCTTTATTATCTATTAAGAGTTTAAGTATTTTTGATAAATATCAGTTAAGCTTTTTAAGACTCATCTTTTTAATAAATTTGTGATCTGTTCTGTAATAAACTTGATTATAATAGCAGATATTATGTGATATATAGAATATAGATGATAATTAGATTAATCTGTGTTAGTTATATTATATATTAAAAAAAATTTAATTTAAAAAATTTCTTTTGATAATTATTATATTTATAATCATTAAAAACTATCAAAGGTTTAAAAGAAAGAAAAAAAAAATAATTTAACTTACACTCTAACTAAAAGGATCTTTACATCAATTTGAATTTTACAGGTAATTAGAATAAGTAAAAAAATATAGCTTTAGAATGGCAAATAAAATCAAATTTATTTACTATTAAAGATTTAATTGAGTAAAATTATAAAATCATATGATTATAACAAATACTATTTTTTATTTTTCTGGATATTGCTATATATATAGTTTAAAATTGTTTTCTCAACTTTTAATTACATCAAATATGTTATAATAAAACCATATAATAAATTATAAATATTTATTAATCATGACATGATCTAGTTATATTGAATGTCTCAAATATTGGGACATATTTTTGGAATAAAAATGTCATAATAAAAATTTTTATAGAATCTACTCTCAACTTAACCTTTTTTTACCATTAATAATATAAATCCATTTTTAATGTTCCAATAATACGAGATTGCCAGATACAACTTTATTTTCTAGCAAAGAATATGGGGGAATATCGATCCTTGAGCCATGGTTCGCTACTATGATTACAGTTCCTTTAAGTTGCACGCCAGCTCCAAATTTGACATCGCCAGTTACCGTTAAATGATCCAATTCAAGAATACTAGGTATTGATTGAAATCTTGATAAAAAATTTGCGACCTAAAAATAAAATGTAAAAAAATTTTTTAATACAACTAGTTTTCAATCAGCCAAATCTAAAAACGTCATTGATTACATTTACCTTTTTGAATTCATCACCTAACTTTACAAGCGGTACAGTTTGGAAAAGACGTTTAGGATTCATCACAAGTTCACCATGATTTAAAGAATATAAATCAGATGTGACAAGGAAAAGATCCGAAGTTGACTTAACAGGCAGGAACCGATTTCTTGGTACATTGATACCATGGGCATTTTTAAAATGTTTAATAGCAGCACCAACAGCAGTTTCAAGTTGGACAACTTTTTCACCAGACTCGAGTGTTTTGTTATTAGAAATAACTTCCAAGTTAATTTCCTCAGAAATACGTTTAATTGCTTTCAAATTTATCCACAGATTGTTGGTGTTAAAGATTCTGAATTTTTTAATAGATTTAAATTCTTCCATATGTACTGCAGGAACTTGGGCAACTTCAAGCAATCTAATAGTGCCTTCATAGTCAATAAGAGTACCACCTTTTATATCAGCTTTAGTCTTGTCCGTTACTTCCATGAGAAATTCAGCATCAGTATCGACCATATATTGAAGTATATTTAAATCAACAACAGCACCTAAATTATCAACATTAGAAACAAAAATATATTCTTTTCCATCGGAAAGTAATTGATCCAATATTCCAGAGTTACACATGGATTCAAACAAATCACCGTGACCTGGTGGATACCTTTTTATATAATAAAATATATTTATTCGAACGCGAAATTTATAAGCGCCGATCATTCCAGAACATAATATTAAAGAACGAAAACTTACCATTGACTTATATCAGCATTGGGAAGACGAGGCGTAGGTAACAAAGATTCCTTGTTTATTCTTGGATAACGTGATTGATTGAAAGTGAGGATGTCAATTTTATGACTTGAATATTTTTGGATGATGCGCTTCGTTTCTTCATCAGTATTAAACGAGTTCATAAGTATGAAAGGCACATTGACATTATGTTTACTATTGAGATACTACGTCATATATATAATGTCAAATAAATGCATTGTCGTCGTCCAAAATCAATTTATTAAAAGATAATCGAATGTACCTCAATTTGTCTCACACTTAAATCCAAGAACGTCATTCCATCTCTAACTTCAATGGCACTTTTTGGACCTACACAACCCATTGTAGTTCCCAGGCCACCATTTAGTTTAAGGACTGCCAATTTGTCAAGAAATTCGGCATTCTCACATTTTGGCAATTTTTTATATGGAATGATTTGTTCAGGACTTGGTTCTTTAACCTTTTCCCAATCCCTTTAAAAAACAATATATATTAATTTTTTATTAGAATTTGATTTATAAAAGTAATCAAATAACATACAATTTTGTCCCCTTAGACTTTTCACTCAAATATCGAGTGAATAACATGAAGAATTTGTCCATTTCATTTTGAAAAGCCTAATTTTTTTTTAAATTAGATTAACAGGAAGACTAAAGTTCACAATATCATCATCTAATAACTGTAATCGAAACAAACCTTACGAGCCTTCATATCTTGAATCGTAAGAGCCATTTTATTTAATTCATTACGCATGGCATTAGCGGCGGATCCTAAAGATGTACTATGAAAATCCTGAGAAAATAAAAACGTGAATTTAGAAATATGAAAGAGAATTCAAATAAACAACATATAATGTACCATAGCAGACAAAGAGTGGGGGTGGTGCTTTCCATTATCTTTTTCAGCTGATAGGCTGTTAGACTTAGACATGATTGAAAATTCCAAGTGCGCTTATTGAAATTTAAAAGTTTCTATCTAACAAGAACGTGGGGAAGTTGAATAAACTTGTCAAAAGTTTTCACTTTATATATATAAAAACCAACTAAATTAAACTTTGTTTATTTCACAAAAAAAAAATTTGACGGCAAGCTTTCCTAAACAGGAATAATGTTATAATGTTTGCCTAATTTAGTGGGATTTTAGTACGTAGACATGCGTCATTATAAAAGGATCTCCGTCATCTATTTTCCAATTAAAGAATAATTTTTTATGATCACGATATATTTATACAAGCAAGAATAATAATAAATTAAAAATATAAAAAGATTTTATTTAAAGATTTTTTTTAAAACTTTATAGTAAGAAACTACATAAAACATAAAACATGTGATGAAATCGTGATTGCGACATTATTATATTGAAACTTTAATTTTCTTCATTCTAAGTAGCTGATATCCAACATCTTAATCTTTGGTAATAATTAGCTCTATAAATTCCAAGAATTCTTAATTCTGCTTAAATCGAAGATCAACTATTTTTAACCAGGTAAAGAAATCTTTTAACCAGATTTCTAGCACTTTTATATATAAAATTATTATAAAAAGTTAAATCTAATAATTCTTAATATTTTTAGGTTCTTAAATTTATAGGGTTAAAAGGTATAGAATTAATATAATAATTAATAGAAATAATTTATTCATTGCATGTCGCCTCCCTTTTGTCACCCGTGTTACACCCCTCCCTTTTTCATTTTTCATATATAGTTTGGGACAGAGAAATTTTTTCACATGTGAAACCCGATTTGTCACTTAGGTTAGTATCACAAGGTTTAGAATTAGGTTAGGGTTAGGGTAGGTTAGGGCAGTGTTGTGACTGGGATGGGACATGTCCTTGGATAGGACAGTCTGAGATAGTTCAAGTCCTTGGACAAAGACTTGCTAATGTCTTAAACATTGATATTTACTTTATTAAAATTAATATTTATAGGGAATGGTTTCGGAAACAATTGTTAAGTCCGGAGCACAAATGTAACGAAAGGGACCAACCACGTATCAACTCAAAATTTGAGCGGGCAGACATCAGGACATCAAAGCGCATAAAACATATATAGTTCTTCGCTAACGCTCCGGACTAATTATTCAGCAAATACACGAATTAAAAAAACAAAAATTATTAGAAATTTTACAAAATTTTATTATTAAAGAACCAAAAGAAAAAAGAGCAAAAGTCCTACCAAATCCTAATAGTCAATATCGTTTTTATCATAATTTAATAAATAATAATATTATTTAATTTAATAATTATAAAGAGTATTTATAATTCAATTAATTGCAAAACTTTTATTATTAAAAAGTTAATTCTAATTCTTTAAAAAGAGAATTTAAATCCCATTTAACATTTACATCAATTGTAGGATGAGTAATATTATTAACTATTACTTTATTTAATTTGTAAATTTCATCTTCAATTTAAAATTTAAGAGTTTCTTCTTCTAACATTTCTACCCACTTTTGTAAATAATTATCAAATTTCTTTTTTAAATTAATTAAATAATCATGATCTGATTTTTTCACATTATTAATATTTTCAGGATTTTCATTAGAATTTTTTATTTTAACATATATTATTATATTAATTGAATTTAAAATAGGAAATTAGAATTAACATGATGTTTTTATATAATATTTGCTCTTAATTTGCTCATTTTAAGAGCTTTTTATAACTAAAAATTTATTAATATTAAAAAATATATATTATTATATATATAATTTTATAAAAATATATTAATTATAAAAATAAATAATTTAAACAATTAAGCAATTTTACTCATTTGATTGCAAAAAGCCCATATAACTATAAAGACACTTAACAGATACTGCATTTATATAAATTCTAAATAATCTGCAAGTAACAAATCAAATCTTTTGTATAATACCAGTATCTTTAAATATTACCATAAAATTGATTATATGTATTATTATTAAAAAAAATATTTTCTAAATTAAAATCATCAAATTTATGTAAAATACAAGTTGACTCCTTTTCAAATTATACTTAATAGAATAAATAAACTATCTGCTAAAAGTAATATACTTAATATTCAAATTATCTTTAATTTGTTTTATATAATATTAAGAATATAATAAATATATTAATAAAAAAAATAGCTGCTCCTACTTATTTCATCTTTTTTCTAATTAAAAAATATTTTTACAAAAGTTAAATATATATTCATAATTATTTCAAAATTATACAAGATATGTAAAACTATATATAATTTAAAATAATTATATTTTATCTTATTAAAGAATGTTAAAGAACTTATAATATTTTCTATAATATATTTACAGTTAATTCTTGATATAGCGAACTTTTGATATAATGAATTTTTTGAACAAATATAATAAAAATTACTCTTGTTATAGTGAATTGGTTAATCAAACCTCTTAAAATCTCATTATAATCTTATAGTGAAGTTGAGATCTAAAACATAGAGTTCATTATAATAATAATTAGCAGTATATTAATCCAAAATATAATTGAATCAATAATTTTAATTTTTCACATGAAATATTAGAAGTTTCTTTTATTTTTTTTTGAGTTTGACTAAAAGATAATTACAAATATCTTACATATTTAATAAATAAATAAATAAATTATTTATTTATTAATATGGGGTCTTTGCAATAGAAAGGGAGGAAACTCCAAAAAAATTAAAATTTTAATTTATAAGCCAAAAATGTTCTAAATACTATAATTTGTTCAGATTTATTATTAACTCATTTTTTATTTTTTTTTGAGTTTCCTCCCTTTCTATTGCAAAGGTCTTATATTATAAAATTTATTTGTAAAGCTATTTGATTTTTAAAATACTTATATATATTTTATAATAACTATTCTAATGAGTTGTCATATATTATTTATTTTTTTTTTATATTCTGATATGATTATAAGCTTAGCTATTTTATTAATAGAAGCTGTAAATTAGATTTTAAATTACGATAATTCACCTGCTTATCACTCTTGTAAGTCTATTTTAACTATATTAAATATATTCAATTATCAGCTTAATAAATCTTATATCAGAGTAGATCTCAATTAAAAGTCTTTATAGACAAACAAATAGTATTGTGACATTGTTAAATATTCAATTATACTATTAAATAGAAAAGTCAAGAAAGTACTTTATTTCAATTCAAAAAATAACTAAACTTACTATATTATCAAATAACTTGAAAATTAAATCTTACTTCTTTTTCTAGTATAAGATCTAAATATATAATAATTAAAAATAATACAAGATTAACCACCTGAAATTTATAATTTATATTATTATTTCACATATTTTTCATTAATTGTTACCTTAAAGCTAATCTAAGTAGATAATATAACATTTACTCATTATAGCCCAGTTCTCATTACATTATAAATTCTATCTTTTACAATAGTTTTAATAGGTTTATTAACTATAACCTTTACTTATTGATTGAAAACACTTGAGACTAAACTATAAAGCTTACACCCTTAAAGTTAATATTATTAAATAAATAGTTTTAAGAATCATATTTTATAAATTTGTGATCTATTTATATTGCATAGTTTGCATATATCCTATGAAATTTATTTTTAAAATTTAATTAATAAATTCATAATAAATTAATATTAAATCTGCACTTAGCTAATTCTGAACTGATATTTATTATAGTATAATCTATAATAGAAACTCACATTTTATGGTATAAGCTAAAAAGATGCTAATCCTTATTTTATATTATTATTTTTACTTTTAACAATATGATACTACCATGTATTTTAATTAGTTAGATTTATAGTATAAATATATCAAATTAAAAAACTAAAATTGTAGCTATCTTTTGTAGTTCTATTTTAAGCCTATATAGTCAATTAATTACTAACAATCCTTTTAAACATTCAAAAGAACCATTTCTAATGAGCAGTTCTTCAACAGAAAAAAACTAATAAAAAGTGTCAATATTACAATGCTTTTCTTAAATTGTTTATTAATCCCCTACTCTCAAAAAATTTACATTTTCTAAAACTAATACAACTCTAACAAGTTCTTAGCTAAGTTGTCTGGTAAATTTCTGATTACAATGATCTTTTAGCAAAGAAATGTCTATATCACTAAGTTCTATCAGTAACTCTTTAGTACTCTCAAATTTTTACGCTAAAATATCTATCAATTTAGATCACAGCTATCAGCAAGTATTATACAAAACTTAAATTATATAATTATAAGAACTAGAAAATTTTACTAGAATCAGCAAGCTATATGATGTCAAAGATCTTTAAAAAAGTATTATTATTTATGAAAGTAATTGAATAAGTAATATATAAAATTTATGCTCAAAGTTATATTAATCCTGATTGTTATTTAAATATTCTCTAATACTTACTTTTTAGTAGGCAAAAGAGAAAGGAAAATAAATGAGAAAAATAGCAGAAAAAAATAATGAATTTTTATTTTTGTTTATAAATTAAACTATAGCTGCCCTTGAATATATATATTTTTACATAAAAATTCTTAAATAAAATCTAATAAGAAAGAACATTTCCATATGTCATTTATCATTTATTTTTTTTAATATTTTGATATAACTATAAACTTAACTATTTTATCAATGAAAGTTGTAAATTAGACCTTAAATTATAATAATTTTATCTGCTTATTACTTTTATAAGTTTATTTTAATTATACTAAATATATTTAATACTAATATAATAGGTATCATACTTAAGTAAGATTCTAACTGAAAGCCCTTATAGATTAACAGATAGTACTAAGGCATTATTAAGTATTTAGGCATACTATTGGATAAAAGGATTAAATAAGATATTCTATTTCAGATTCAAGAAATGATCAAGCTTATTATATCATTAAATAACTTGTAAATTAAATTCAATATATCCTTCTAATATAAGGTTTAAATATATAATAGCTAAAGACAATACAAGATAAATATCTGAAA